ACTAATTCTCCCCTCTACTCCTCTCTGATGGGTAATAACAGTTCTCTCTCTCAGAAATAAAAATAACATGCCAAAGCTTCTTGTCTCCGAGCAGCCTGAGGGAAGAAGAGAGGGACAGAGGAGGGAGGATGAAGAATGAGAGCAGAAAGAGAAAGTGATGGATGAATGAAGAACTAAATATGTGTGTGCTTGTGACGCTGCTACATTAGCCTCATCACAAATGCAAAGTGGGCCAATTAGTAGCAGTGTGAGCAGGAAGTGACACGTTCCACCTGAAGAAGCCCACAGACAACGTCGGTGTCCACAGCTGGCCATAAATCATACCTGTGAGAGCCGTGTTCCCTGCATGCATTAGTTAAAACTCTAAAACAAGAAGAACATTTAGAAAAAGCTCTGAGCATCCACCCAGAATAAAACCCAGTCTGTGCATCCTTTGCAGTGTTTTCTCACCATTACCAAACATAAACTGGCTGCAAACACATGCAGTCCTCTGCAGCTCCCTGCTGCCGCTGCTGCTCTTAGGTCGTTTTCACACCTGATAGTCCGGTAGACTCGGTTCCATTGGGGACCAAAATTCAGAACATTTGTTTATATTTTCAGCTGGTGAGGTTCTCATTCACACTGCACTGTCAGTCAAGCCAACCTGCCCCCCCCCCCCACACACACACACACACATACACACACACACACACACACACTCACGTCCTTGGTGGCGCTGCACCAAGAACTACTGAAGGCAACGAGAAAAACCTCTGAAGAAGACACTTCTTCTTCTTCTGGAAATAAAAACAAAAATGGAGTGGCGTCAAATTTTAGCGGTTTTAGGATTTCTGTTTTGTAATTTTTCAACAATGAACTCTGCATGAGTGGAAGATGAGCAGAAGATTATGGAGAATGTTGTTTTTCACACAAGGCGGCTGACGGCTCTGTATGAGGCATTCAGGGCTTCATTTGTAACCGTTCGATGCCGGAACAAAAATAGCGGGCGGGCCGGTTGGAGGGAGTGGGTCAGTCATAAATGCAACTCCTCCTTAATGTTAAATATCTGAATGTTTCACTTATTCAACTTACAACTATTAAGAAAAGTTCTAAATTTTAGGAGGTCAGACTGTCTCTGGTGTGAGGCGACTCCTGGTGAGCTCCAGATATCACAAGATGCTTCAATCAGCCGCACCTTTCATCCAACACATCCAGTGTTTCATGGTCAACAGTTTAGGGTTGCACAATATATTACAATTTATAATCAACACATCAATAATAAATACACTATCACAATCAAAAGACCATTTGGTCTGCAATAGATCATAGGCTTCATATCATTTGTGTATCATGCATTTGTGTTCTGCTGCTAATTATATATTTAGTGAGTCCAATAGGTTACTATCACATGAAGACACTTTCTAGTGATCCCAGTAACTAATTTTTTATTTTTATTTTTGACTGCTCCCTTCTTCAGGGGGAACCACAGTGAACTAAGTTGCACAAAGACTTTGTAATTTATTTTAATTTTTTATGCCAGATGTCCTTCCTGACTCAACCACAGACCACCGAGCTACCACAGCCCTCTGTGTGGAGCAGAGCTGCTATCTAGGGCACCCCGGGGAGCAGATGGTGGGGGTTAAGTGTCTTGCTCAAGGGCCCAGAGTGGGGCAAATGAGGGTGGAGGCAGGTGTGGGTGCTCAACCTTTCCCACCCACATTTTGATGTTGTCGGTATTGGGAGTTGAACCAGCGATCTTTCGATCACAGGCACACCTTCTCTAACCTCTGTGCCACCACTCCTTCTAACTAATATATAATCTTCCTAATCTACCTTTAGATCAAAGCTTTTTAACTGGTATATTCTCATAAATAATCTCTTTAATTCTAAATCTTTTATCCTGATGCATGCTCAATAATCCAGGCAGAAAAATCTAAAAAAGTTCAATCTGGTCCTCTGGACATTCAAAAAAACAAAACAAAGCAAATCAACAAAAAAATGTAGAAACGTTTCGTCTCTCATCCGAGAGACTTCCTCAGTCTGAGGTACTGTATTCAGCTCAGTCTCTTAAATAGCACCGTCTCAGAGTGGATCAACCAGTTTTGCTGCTGACAACCAAAACCAGCTGATCACATGCTCAAGAAGGACCATCAGCCTAACAATGGATCATTAGCACACTGATGGCTGTTTACTGTTCACAAAGGGCTGAGTAATACTAGCAATCACAGCATTGTAAGAGGGGGACAGTTGAACCCGTAGGCCTCCACCCCTGTTTAATGATGGACGATTTCTTTTCACAAAGATGGCCTCCTTTACTCCTCTCTCAAACCATCGTTCCTCTCTGTCCAGGATGTGAACATCTTCATCCCTGAAAGAGTGACCGCTGACCTGGAGATGAGTGTAGACCGCAGAGTCCTGGCCTGATGATGTTGATCTTCTGTGCTGGGCCATCCTTTTGGCCAGTGGCTGTTTAGTTTCCCTGATGTAAGACTGATCACAGCCCTCCTGACACTGAACAGCATACACAACATTACTCTGTTTGTGCTGGGGGACTGGATCTCTAAATCTTTTACTTTCTTTGAAATAAACCACGGCACGGTGGCACAGTTAATAGTGCTGCTGCCTCTTAGCAAGAAGGTCGAGAATGTCAAATCCCAGCTGGGGCCTTTCTGGGTGGAGTTTGCATGTTTTCTCCAGGTACTCCAGTTTCCTCCTACAGATCAAAAACATGCATGTTACACTGATTGGTAACTCTAAATTGTCCCTAGTTGAGAGAGTGAATGGTTGTTTGTCTCGTTTGTCTCTATGAGTCCCTGTGAAGGACTGGAGACCTGTCCAGGGTGTCCCCCACCTCTCACACAGTGACTGCTGAATTTAGACACCAGTGACCCCCATGACCCAGAAAGAAAGAAGCGCATAAAGATGAAGGATGGATGGATGGATGGATGGATGGATGGATACAGGTGTGGGATGGCATAGGAGGGTTTGGGAGGATTCCCGAACAGCCGGTCAGTTCCAGGCCGAACCGGCCAGTGGTGATCGGTATGTTTTGTTTTTTGTCTTTTTAAACGCTGCTCCCTCGTGGCTGCAGGTGTCAATCAAACGTCACATGATGCGAGCAGCCCCTCCCGCTGTGAAAAAGAAAGAAAAGAGAGTGCGAAGCAAATATGCTAAAAAAAAAGGAGAAAGAGATGGGTTGAGCAGAAAAATTAAGGAAGGATAAAAGGAAAAAGTTAATGCAAGATGCAGCCAAATGAGCTAAAATAGCAGATATTTTCAGGGGGAGGGGCCAAAGTCACGTGACTCAAGTCATCCAGGACAGTGATAACAGGACAGAGCAGCATGGAGACAGCAGGTCAACAAGCAGGGCCTACATGGACCTATCATCATCCCAGAGCTGGCATAAAGTGTGTCTGTGTTTCTGGATGTGTCCAGAGCTCACAGAACATTAAAGGAGGTCTATTAGTGTTGTTACACCATAAATAAATCTTTAATCTGCTTTATCAACTAAAATTAAAATCAATCCACACCGACTGACCAGAAAAATGCATGTTTCTTTATTGCAAAACAAAACATATAGTATTTCATGAAAGAGTCTGTTTTCCTCTCTTTCTACATTAATATTTTTAACAGCTCAAGAAACACATTGCAGTAATTCATTTACTGTATTTTTGTCTGTAGCTCTTTGTTTTTGTTTTATAAAACTGTGAATCATTTACAAAAGTGCTCTAAAATGTATCATTGTTGCTGTTATTGTTATTAGCTGAAAAGGCCAGTGTCAGTCGAGGAGTTCGTGCAGAGGTACAGGATAATAATGCCAGTCATGAGTGAGGAGGAGGAGGAGGAGGAGGAGGAGGAAGAGGCGGAGAGAAAGAGGTCCTGATGACTTTAGACAATGATGCAGTTATAGACAGAGCTGTCGAGACCAGTGTTCTGCTCAAGAACATGTTAATGATGGAAGTTATGACAGTTCCCTTTTGTTTGGGGGACAGATTATGATGTTACACGTCTGTATATCTTTAGAGGCTGTTTTTTTGTTCCTTAATATTTGCATTGATTTTTATGATATATCATTGAATGCATACGAACATATACAGTAGTTTTGATTGTTGAACAAACAGCTTTTATGTTGCAAATAAAGTAGTTGTGTTAAAATTATGCTTCCACGTGCATCGTTGTGCAATCGGATGAAAGGCCTCTCCAAAGCAAGCTCCCGGGCTGAATTTCAACCCAGCCCGATGGATGGATGGATGGATGGAAATGAATGGATGGATGGATGGAAATGAATGGATGGATGGATGGATGGATGGAAATGAATGGATGGAAGGATGGATGGATGGATGGATGGATGGATGGAATTGACCATTTTTCTCTGCCAGCTGCCGTATCACTTCATATCACTTTGTATAATATTTGGCTTCATTGTGAAACTCAGGATTCCGTTTTTTTAAACATAGAGTTGAATTCTCAATGACATCACTCCAGATCCATAAAAATTGAGTTTTTAAACCATCACTCTCATAAACAACACTAGCCTGTTGTCAGGCTGTGTGATACATTGCCAACTTTTAACAAATTAAACAGTTTCAAAGTTTTTGAAATGGAGAATTTAAAGAAAATTATAACACAAAATTGAAAAAAATCCTCATTTTGACTCACTTTCCAGCACAACTCACAAAAGTTTTGTTTTGTTCCTGTGATAGCATCCCTGACCCCCCGGCCCCAGCCATGCACTCCCTCACAAATTGCTGATAAAGATAAATAAAGTATTTTGGTCTTTTAGCAACACACCGTTGAGGAGCAGATACAGAGACACCTTCTGCTGGGCTCGTTTATGACGGCTTCATGAACAGAATAAACTTGCTAAACCCTCGTGTGTCTCTTGCTGTTGGCTTCTGTTCCGTTTTCAGCTTGAAGATGTTCTGACGGTGCTGCAGTGACTGAAGCAGTAATATCAGTACGTCTCTGACCAAGGTTCTGTTGGATGTGACTGAAACCCTCCATCATTTGATCTTTTTCAGGTTCTGGTTTGGCACACCCGCACAGAGAAACCACACCTGGCAAACGAGCCCAAACATCGAAAGGACACGGTGTTCATCGAGGTGTGATTCTTTCCACGGAGTGACCGACCCGGATTCTGTTCTTATCGGGTCAACTGACAGTGGACTCGGACTCTTCAGGAGCTGCATGATTCAGGACTCCTGACACCAGGATCATCAAATCCTTTCATGAACAAACATTTCTTCCATCGTCAGCCTGCTGATATTAAAGCTGAAGTGTGAAATGTCATGCGGAAGTGGAAAAGTGCCATCTGATTCATTCTGAACCATCTTTTTTTATCCTCATCAAAGTTCAGCTGTGACATCATGGTATAAAGATAGCCTGTTTCAAAAAGCTGCCTTCTGTCTGACTGATCAACCATCCTGATGTTAAAGCACACGTTGGAAAACATCTTTATTTTGTTTACAAACAAAAGACGAGTAGGCTAATGTTAGCTTGTTGAGATAAGTGAAGAAGGGGGGAATATATTTATCATTAAAAAATACTTTTTTTTTTTTTTTAACAAAACACAAAGATGACAGTACATTTATGGCTGAGAAAGGTATTTTGTGAAAAAACGTATTTAAAATGTTCGACCATATCCATTTTGTACCTTGTTGCTAGGCTAACAAGCTCCATACGTGAGACCTTTTTAAACAGTGTCTGAAATGACTGCAGAGCTTTCACCTATTCATAATCAAACTGTAAAAACATTTTGTATTGTCTGATTTGAACCAGCAAAGTTTTCAGTTTTTTCTTCATCAGGTCTTAAATGGTTAAAGCTAAGTTGACAGTATTTAGTAGAGCCCGACCAATATGAAACGTTAGTTTTTGCCGATACGATAAATCTCCAAATGTCTATATCGGCCTAAATTATCGGCCCTATCAATATACCAGTCAGGCTCCAGTATTTAGCTGTAGTGAATGCACACTCAATTACCGTATTTTCCGGCTTATAAGTCACAGTTTTTTGCATAGATATGCCAGTCCTGCGACTTATACACCAAAGCGAATTATATATATATATATATATATATATATATATATATTCAATTCAATTCAATTCAATTCAAGAATATTTTATTAATCCCAAAGGGAAATTAATTGTTGTTGTAGCTCATATTGGTTTCATTAGAGTTGTCCTAGATGCTGATGGCTTTGGGCAGGAAGGAGCTTTTGTAGCAGTCTGTCCCACAGCAGATCAGAAGAAACTGGCTGCAGATGCCCATCTGTCCACCCAGACCCAGCAGACCTCTCGTTCTCTCAGGCAACAGAACTGTCTGAATGCTGGGCAGCGCTCCTCCCCGAGCGATGGCCATTTCTCCCAGCAGCCTGCCAAGCCCTTCGTCACTGCAGACTTAACTGCAGGTGCCAGGGGACGATCTTGGTCTTCCCGCTGTCACGGGCCATGTTTTCCGCTACCAGGCACTTGAGCACAGCCTCCAGGTAGACGGTAATGCATCCACGGCACCTCCTTTTCAAATAATTTGGGATTTGGGGCTGTAGTTGAGGTCTTATTTGAGCCTTTGTGATGTTAAGCAGCAGCTCCCAGTTGTAGAAAACCACCTTGTTGTTATGGTTACGCATCATAACAAATGTCCAAAAAAAAAAAAAGGTTTCAGTAAAAATCCTTCCAGCGGCACAGCATCTGATATTAGAGGAAGTAATCATCTGAAAAAAAAAGTGATTTTTAACATCCAGAAAAATTAATAATTAAAGTTTAAAAAAGCAAACTCTCAGAATGAATGTAAGAGAGTTACTCCAACATGCAGCCACCTTGAGCAGCACAATTCT